AAGAAAAGTAGGGGTCACCGAACGTTCAAGATCGTTAAATCCAGGCAAAGCTATAGCAATGGCCATCTGCCCTATCATTGTTCATTTATTACTTGGCGCGCGTTCTCATGCATGACGTGGCGTGTGAATTTGCGTGCGCCGTAAGGATGCACAGAAACAATTAGTGCGAACGTCCTTAAGAATTGAGCGGCTACGTCAGATGTCTTATCAAGAATGTTACTTTGCGGGCCCACTTTTCGATACGGCTTTAACATTTCATCAGCAGCTTAAAATAACTGCAAAAAATGACGATTTATGTCTAGTCCTATGCGTGATGCCAACGACGCAATGTGTGTATTTGAGTTGTGTTTAAATTTGTGTCTGGGATGTCTTCAATTTCCTTTATCTTCGATTCGTATTTTCAATAATATTGAAACATTTATAACCATTAAAATCATGTACATGTGAACTTTACAATCTTAAATATGGTAAAACGAGCTACCATGTATTGTGCCAATGCAATTTACCCCCCATATCACCAGCTTCATTGACCTGGTTTGATCTGTAGTGATGATGTCAAATTTGGCCATGCCTTCCTTAAGTATCGGTTGCTATCAACAACTGATAGATCAATAAGATTCTGAATCACTAACCCCTAGTAAAGTAACATCAGTACCAAAGGTAAGTATGTATTTAATAATACATTTACGTGCAATGACTTCGTACAGCCTTACGAGAATTCACTAAACATATCGGATTTACCAGATTTTTCTGTTTGCCATATTTGTTTACATTACTTGACTACAGTCACATGTCGATAATTTGGAACAGTATCAGGGAGCGGAAGCAATACTTCACTAAAGAGTTTCATACTTGTAACAACGCCAAATTAATTTCCCCTCCAGAAGGAGTTGCTTGGTTTCAAATTAATACAGGATTGATTTCTGGATCATCAACTGCAAGGAAACAAACGATTTTCCCACTTCTTGCGAGTTTCTCTAATCTTGCCAATCAAACGCCTTGAAGCAATTTCGAAACTGCAGAGAAGCAGTAAAATTTCTACGTCGCTGACCTAGGAGGTCATTTGCACAATCCCGGTACAGTCCGCAAAAGTTGAAACAAGTCACGTTTCTAAATGCATGCGTAGAAAAAAACATAGCATAGCATGGTCGAGCTTATCAAACGACTGAGAATTTTTGGTTATTCTCCTCTCGAATTGCCGCAACAGCTCGTTGAAAACACCGATCAATTCCGAGAAGAATCTTAGTCTACCTTCTCACCGATCCGAAGTATTCCGATTGCTGGCCGATTGATCGCTGTCCCGATTATCGTTGACACGGGGAAATGACGACCGATCAGTGTTCAGAATACTGCTGACACGGAAATTGACTACCAATTGGGATTTTCTGGAACAGCCTTGTCGAATCTTGTGATGACAATGTGTCACGCTTCTATCGAAGCCGTGACTCAACAAACGATCGTGTGCCTGAGATATGCTGGCCTTCCCGAAAAGCCAAACCCTGAACCTTTTTTTAGCCCTAACCGAGAATTGAAACTATTTTTCTGAGTCAACTTACATTATCTGTATAGAAATTTCTTCAGGAGAATTTGGTTTGAACCCAAGACATGTTTACCGACATGGATGGCGGGGAGTTGGCTACTTAATTTTCTTGATTTTTCTTAAAATAACGTGTCAAGAAGGCTGATATTTACTTCTTATTAGGGACCTTAAAATTGAACTACGAGTACGAGATTAAGTATGAAAACGATTTTCAAATTTCAAACCGGTGTCACATTTCCAGAGACCCAGCTCTTTATGTTGGTTTTATGTGGATAGGGCAACCCATGGGATGGAATAGCTATGTGACATGATATAATATAGAGCCTGAATACTAGGAAAGAAAAGTCGCAATCGTATTGCATCTCGCACTCGTACTCGAATCTTCATCTCCTTATTGACTTTACTGAGAAACAGCAATGGAAACATTTAATCTTGTTATACCTCCCAACTCAAATACGTTTTCCGATTGGAGGAGAACGTGTCACGTGTCGTGGGCCAAAACTCACTAACTCCCTAGGGCGAACAAAACTCACTAACTCACTAAGGAAACTGACAACTGGAACTTTCGACTAGCACGTGACCAGGTCGTGCTCCCTGAAACTGCGGCAAATTTGTGAGCCAGCCGACGTCAAGTAAACGATTTCTTCGCAGTTTTTTCTATCTTTGAGTTGGGAGGTATAACAAAACACTTAATGACTGGTCCCACGGGAAACAGTGACTTTTGTTTCCCCTCGACCTCAACGTTCTCCTCGGCTTCACCTCGCGGAACATTGAAGGTCTCGGGGAAACAAAACTCACTGTTTTCCTTGGGGCCAGTCATTAAGTGCTTAAAAACCGATTGCAATACTTGATCGTCATTTAGAATGTACGCGGCATACGTACGTGCTCCCAGCTTGTAACACTGCGAATAGAACATAGCATGTAGAAGTGGAAAAATTGAGTTGGTCCATTGCCAAATTCCAGTCTGAAGAGGCACTGTTTGAAGAGGAGATTCCGACGAGACAACGATAAAACAAGAAACAATTTTCTCAATCTACTCTACTCATATCAAAGCGAGTCGTCATCCGGCAGTGTAATTCCCTTTTCGGCCAGTTGACACTTTACTCGGTCAAGGTAACTAGGATCTGGATAGCCACAGCTGCAGAGAGTAAAAAAATTACTTAACTTTAGTTTCAGGTAAAAGCAACAGTGCTACTCTGTATATTCGAGAGTAAATAAAGTTTAGGCAACTATTACTAAACCTGCAACTTCAGAGGGAACCGGATGACTAATTTTGTGATTTTTGTTTCTGATTAATTGAGACTGCTAGCGTTGTCTGAGTTATCTGCGAACCGATAGATTTGTGATATACAGCTATTTAGATTAGCCCTGTTGGCTGAAAGCGTCGAGCTTAATCGACTAGCCTGTAATCAGGCTCCAGACTGGGTTATGGGGCGAAAAAAGAAAAAGAAAAAATCAGAGATAGCCGTGAGCACTTTTCTGCATGACGATTGAGTGACATTGAACGAGGCAGTCAGAAATTGGTATATTCTTTTGACACGACGGCCGGAGAGGATCGTGGGATCGCGGATTGTGTCCTCATGCTCTTCCCTACTTGGAACCTTTCCTCGGGGTCTTCACCACTGCTGCTGCTACGTTTACACATATATTTTTAGCCGCATTCTAATGCTCTTTCTTTTGTTAGTCTTGGTAGCTTCTCGTACCAGCGTGGCGTAGGTTATGACTCTAAGAACCAACAGTAATTTGTAGTTTGCAAGAGAACAAATAAGGTTATTTGGTTTGCAAAATATAGCATACTCGGCTACATCTTATACAACTTTTACATCGTGACATATATCTGCTTAGGCTACAAAAGGCTTTACAGTTTAATACTTACAAACAAAACGTTAGCATTTAGTATAGGTTTAAGTTTTAAGTTATATTGGCAAACCTTACTTGGTTGGGCCCCCACTTCGATTTGTTTTCAGTTCGATGCCGCTGCATATAATGTTATACTCGTCACCGGTAGCGGGAGATTCCTCAATGGTAAACATCAACCGTGCATCAAAAGCGCTCCTCAGCAGCTTGCACACTTCTTGTCCCGCTGGGTTGTTAGGGAGGTAGGATGTACAAAGTAAACCACAGAAAGGCTCTCCTGGATTTGCATGGATTTGCAAAGAGTGTACATCATAATTTAATCGGAATACACGCAAACTTTTATTCCCATAGAAATGATTCAACCATACCTTGAATTCCTTCTTTGAAGTTGAAGGTAATGACAATGGTTCCACACTCCTCGTATCCTGGAAGTGAATTATACTCAGTCCTCCAAGTCGTGTACCCTACTGGCAGTTTTCCTAGCAAAAGATTCTCCCGCCTGCAAGTTGGACAGATCATCGTCTTCTCAAAAAACAATTTTGTACAGGACTTACAGAAATAGTGACCACATTTAGATAGGTAAACAGGGTCTTTCTGGAGATTCATGCACATGGTGCATTTTGTTACATTCGTGTTCATCCTGGCTGGCGTCTGTAGACCTATAATTAACGTATAAAATTATGATGATAAGTTACGTCTGTGGGACAGTTTAAAGAGCGTCCAGGTACTATAGCTAATTCAGTTAGATTTAAGGAATCCAAGTAGAAAATTGTCACTGTACCTCCGGCTAGAGTTATCAAGCAAAATAAGGAACGTCAAGCGTGGACAACAGGCATTGTTGCTGTTATTGGTCAGTAAAATTAACTTGGCTCGAACCCGATTAAGTGTGTATACTTAACTGGGTTCGAGTCCTGTTAATATAGTATTCCAGGGCTGGGTTGTTCAAAGCCCGATTAAGCTAACCCAGGATTAACGAGAATTTTGAATTCAGCTTTTTAACTTGGCGGCAAATGTTTCTGTTTATATTGTTTGTCCTTCTGTTTTGAGTTTGAATAATCTCAAATTACACAAAACACAAGCAGTGAAAAACATTTTTATACAAAAAGATAATATAGTTTGGTTAACTTTTAATCCCGGGTGAGTGATAACCGACTTCCAAACAACCTGGAGTCTTAAAAACTAGTACCCAGAAAAATGATAAACTTAGGCATAATTTGGGCAATTACTAGGGTCAATACTTATGGTCAGTCGTTTTCTAAGGCAATCATTAGCCAGTTATATCTCATATCTGTTACCCATACAATCTCACCGAGTAACTGATGCCCAGTGAAATAATATACTAAGTATTAGAGTCTATGGTTTTCATCTGAATGTCGTAAAACCCAGACAATGGCAATTACAGTACATGTAAGCCACCGCAAAAGCAAATAACAAAATGGAACAATAAGAACTTTAAGCAATTCTACTCAAGGGCTTGAATCTCTAACTGTATTTCAAAGCAAAGTGTCTGGGTAATGGTCGTACCCTAAGAGACCTAATTCTCAGCTCTTTGTCCTGTTTTTCTTTGTCCTTTAGGCAAACCTAACCCTAACCCCAACCCTAACACTAACCTAACCTAACCTAATCTAAACACCCCTCAATGAATACTACCATGTTACTGCCCCCCTTAGGTTTTGTTCTGTTGAGACATTATGTGACGGACCGCTAAAATTGAATCAGGTTTGTATTTGGAATAAACAGTTAAAAAGCTAAGCTTAAGCAACTTTGTTTATATTTTCTTGGTTTCTTTCACATTTTTGTTTTTGATTAATTCATTGCATCAAACTTAACAGTACAAAGTTACTCCAAATTTATTAGCCTAATTTCAGTTCTATTCATGAGACAATGCCTTGGGTAATGCCCAGCTTAAGTATATAGGGACAATGGCATTTGATCACAAAAAAAGGACCGAAACAGAAAACAAATTAAATAATAAATAGAAAAAAGTGGTTTTCAATTGAGTTTCAAGTAATCAGGCAATAACTTTGGTTTGGATTTACTATGGCTTGAGATTGGCTGAGTAGTCTAATTGGTAAGTAATTGGTTTGGTTTTAGTTTTACGACACTCAATTGAAAACTGCTGAAAACAAATTAAATAACAAATAAAATAAACAGTCAAATCTTGACAAAACCAATAAGGTCACTCTGTGCAAACTGACCCATCAGTGGAAGAAAGTATTCAACATCCTTATAATTAGCTTATTAGAGCAATGTTTGGGGTAGGTTTCCCGTTATGGCTGAAAAAAGTCCCTCACCCATCCCTCCTGAACGTCTCTGGACCTGCCTATAAATTATCCATAAAATTGATGTGTCTTTATTATAGAGGTGTCCAAAACAATGAGTTTGCCCTTATTTAGAATTGGCTAAGCCAATTTAAGCTTAAACTTCATCAACAGAAGGTTGTATTGATGGAAAAACCCTGTGAAAAGTCAAGCTGATTTTCAATGAGTTTGATATAAGTCTCCAACATGCACAAGACAGCGCCATGAATGACAAAAAATTACTGATCTGGTAAATTAACTCATGATTAGCCTTATAAATACTTGGCTAGGTACTTTAAAAGATTCCCATCTTAATTTAATTTTGTTTGTTTGTATTCATTTTGCTACGATGTTCTTGGTAGTGATCAGCAATTCTTGAAGATTGAGCAAGGCTTTACAACTTGATGGAAAAAAAAAAAATCCATCAGGTTTGATGAAGTCCCGGGGGGGGGGGGGGG